GTGGAGTATGAATGTTGCCAAACGGAGTTTTTCATTCACATTCTTGTGATTGTATTGCTCGTGGCTTTCGCCGGCATGATGTCGGGGCTCACTTTGGGACTCATGTCTCTCAGCCTTGTTGATCTTGAAGTTCTTGCCAAATCAGGCACTCCCAAGGACAAAAAATATGCCGGTATAGTTTTTACTAGTTTCATTATCGTTTTGAATTTTTTTTTTTTTTAAAGTGTTGCCAGTTGATATTTAGGCAATTAGTATTTCACCTCACTATTTGGGTTTTTGTTAGAAATATGGATATTTTACCTCAGAATACTGGTTTTTGTTAGAAATTTGATTCAATATAATTGTTCTTTTTAAACTATACGTGCTGTGAGGTCATCAAAATTAGATGTTTTGAGTAGAGAATCTATCAGATGCCTCCTGGGAACTATTGCTGGTTTGAATGTATTTTCAAGTTTGAGATTTCTTAGGGAATTCTGCGAATTGATGTTGATAAACAATGATAGATTTTCATGGCAATACTACTGGAACTGTGCTGGCAGCCTTGAGTGTATCATATGTTATTTAGTTATATACTTACTGTCTAGTGTCTACTGTGATCTGCTTCGTGTTTGTGCTACATTGATAGTTGAAATTGAAGTGGGAGGTTGATTGGTAATTTTAGTGAGTATAATAAAGAAAGTTATAAAGATGGTGAATTTGGCTCTGGATTATATATCTATACTGATTTTAAATTTGTTTTAGTTGAGAATTGTATGGATTGGGCATTATAAATATGCATATTTACTTTTATTGCAGCAAAGATATTGCCAGTGGTCAAGAATCAGCATTTATTGCTTTGTACCCTGCTCATCTGCAATGCTGCTGCAATGGAGGTAATGCACTCAAGATATTATACTTAAACAAGTTTTTGAAATCAGATAAGATATGATATAATATTTGACATTATTTACTTTCAGGCGCTTCCTATTTTTCTTGATGGTCTAATTACAGCTTGGGGAGCTATCCTGATATCTGTGACATTAATTCTTCTGTTTGGTGAGGTAAGAAATTTATATAGCCCTTGTTTGAGCCACATTATATTTCTAAGAATGCATTTTTGAATAGTGTATTGATGGGAAATATGTGATTAAAAAATAAATAAAAGTTTTGGATTTGGGTGTAATATTATTTTATTGAAGAATGTGTGGTTGAAATGATGTCAAATCACTTTTTAAGAATGTATTTTTTTGAAAAAATGTGGCTCAAACATGGCCATGATAACTAGCTTTGGAACTTGCACTGGACATTCCTGAACCATCACATGTACACACACATACAAAAACTCCTTGCTAATGATCTTTTATTTCTCTTTCTTGAATTGAATGTTTGAAGAATTTAGATTGTTGAGGGACTTTTTCAATATTAATGGGAACTGAACTAGTGGGGCAAGTTAGCATAGAATTTTTTTGGTTGAATGTCAAAATATTAGATGACAACATAGTTTTAAATGACTAAATCTGAAATTTAGGTGATACACAACATCGGCTTGATGTACCATTCTTTAAGATGTGAAGGTAAAAAGGCATATAGAGAAGCATTACCAGGTTCGCATGAGAATGATAACAAACTGTTTGCAGATTCAGTACTAGAAAAATGTTCCGTGGGCTAAATGCCTAAATAATTATGATGGAATCTGGAACAAACTGATTTTGGAATATATTTTTATTATTTGTTGAAGCATCAATCCAAATAAAAGGGTTGAATAACCAAATTTGATTGTACTCACTTGAATTGTTAATGACCTGGATTGAAGAGGAGGTGATGATATTATGAATTTGAATTAAAAATGATAAAGAAAATTTTGATGAAGAATGTGCTTAGTTAGAATTGTTGAACATTCTGCATGATCTGCAACTAGAATGCAAATCATTTCTTCAAATGAATGAAGATAACTGGGAAAGTAACTGAGTTCCAAGCTGCAGTGAAATTTTTTTGGACACCTATAAAGTTAAGCAAGGATTTGAAATCATCCAAAAAGATGGGATTTCTGATTTGATAAGATTGGCAACCACCAAATAAAGTAGCACTCCACTACATTCCAAGTAATTCACATATTTTGTTCGCGTAGTGGTTGGATCGTTATATTCAGTAATCATTCTGATGAGTTTATTGTTTCATTCACAATCAGCTCAGCTAATTAAAGGATATGTCAAATTGGAGGGACAGTTTAAAAAAGAGCAAGGAATCATTTTACGAGGATAGGCGGTTATGCATATAGCTCAACTGTCAGGATTGATGGCAACACATTACCAGTTTCCAGAATTCTAATTTCTTCCTACAAAAAGACTTTTTTTTTTCTTTTATTCTCTTTTTGATTTCTTTTTTTATTGGTTTGACCTAGGTCCTGACATCATTATTTCGGAAATTCTACTTGAGAGTGTAACCCAAATGAAAACCTTCCCCCCCCCCCCCCCCA